CGGCAAGTAAACAGACTTGTTACAATAATTATAGATATTGCTAATCACAGGATCTCCGAATCTGCTCATAGGTTACCCAAATCTGTGACAACCTCTTTTAAGATGATGAAAATGTTTTTTGTAAGTAGAATTCACTGATTGATAAGGGTGTGTGTGCTATAAATCATTGCAAAATTTTCGACCAGAATTCGGTAAGAACCATACAACAGACTACCACATAGATAAAAATGCCCTGTCATTCTTAAACCTTAAACTAATAGATGTATTTGACAAAGGCCCGAGAATTCTCCACTCCGTCAAATAAAAACGACTTTTAGATTACTGGTGGGTGAAGATGGGAACTACTAGTTTGTTAGAAATGGTTTTCATTTGTAAACAGAGATGTGCTCCTTGTAAAAAAAAACTACTCCGGTAAATCAGGAGGAACGACTGAAATCGATATTTCATCATTTTCAATTAACGGTCGACATCAAGAATTGCACGTCTGATACTATGTGTCTGTATCTTGGCTCATAAGAGACATGTTTTAGTCGTCTTGAATAAAATTTGACCGATTGTGTTTTATTCCTCGTCAGAACATTTTAGATTTAGTATAGGTTAGTATGAAGGGTGATGCATTCATAGCAGGAGAAGATTACTTTGTTGACTCACCCGGCCTCCTTCAATTAGAAGTTCATGCAATTTAATCAGGCTTTTTTCTTGTTTGGTATTTACTAGTTTAAAACCGGCGGTGAACTACTGTCGACTCTTATTCATTAACGTTAAACTCCAATAAATATGCATTTGTTTTCACATGCGGCACACATGTTATAAATTAACTTTTTCCCGTTCCATTGAAAATTAAATCAATTTAATATTTTTAATCATGCAAATGAATACATAAAAATAAGAATTTGTTGATGACTTCCAATGAAATAACTATTTACCAGAGACCAAAAAACGTAGAATAAAGCAATTATAGGTCACCGTACGACCTACAACAACGATCAAAACCCATACCGTTTATAGTAAGCTTTAAAATGCCCCGACATGACAAAATGAAAAACAATGCAAACGAGAAAACCAAGGCCTGATTTATTCACAAAAAAAAAAAATAAAACGAAAAACAAATACGATAGACAGCAACTAACGGCAACCTGGTTCCTGACTTGGGACATGCACATATATGATATGTTGGGGTAAATCGTGTTTGTGGACACCTCCCCGAACCTTGGACACAGGTTTAACAGCACACCATAAAAAGAAACTGTAAAAATCAGTAGAAAAATTATTGACGATACAAATCACAATAAAACAAAACAAAAAGACTAAAGACACAAAAATACAGAAATAAGAGTACGCACAGTTACTAAAAGCTATTACAGTTAATAAATAAATCATAATTCCAGACTAAAATATCAATCAGTACACATCACAAGGATTAAGTGTAAAGACGTCATAAACAGGCTGAGAAAAACATGACCTTGTGCAATGACAAAATATAAGAATCGACAGGATGTAGAACCCTAAGGATTCGAATACGTATTTAGTTATGTTTTAATTTATAAATAACAACATCAAAATAAGTACCGATACAAACTATATTCAAAGATCTTATTACAGTGTTAAATTAACAACGTTTTGTAATGTGTCTATTTAAAGAATCGATAAGTTTACACGGATCGTATCTTAATTCACCAGCTCTATAAACATCACCGTAAAAATTAGTATGAAATAGCCTGTTTGTTATTTTCGGGTACTACCAAACTTCTAAATCAAATCTGTGTAACTATGAAAGAATTTAGTAAAGGTTTAAAATAATGTGTGGTTGCGAAATCACGAACTTACTAATTTCCCAGTGATTCATAGATAAAGTTCATTGAAATCTATAACGCCACCTCAGACATGGAAAAAGCGAATGCGTTATGATATATATTGAGTTAGACTGGACCGAAGGAACATCGCCGTTCAAACAAAATCTTCCCTTTAGTCGTAAATTTTTGTATAGGTTTTCCTAAAAAACTTAAAATCTTTTAAAATTATTACTGTTCATATTAGATTTATTTAAAGTAAGTTCCCTTAGGTAGATTTCTGCAGGGATAGGATTTGACAACGATTTATTGAAATATGAAAAATTCTTGATTATTCAACAGAAGAATATCATCAGGGTAACGGTAATTATTTTTGAAGTAATCAATTTTAAATACTATTTAGACGGATCTTTACTGGGTTTGGCCATAAACTGATTCATAACAATACAGGAACATGTCTTGTATTAAACGGACTCAACTGGTGCCCGTATGAATACCTAAAGCCGATCAACACACTTTATTGCAAGATCGTACATATATGTTTTCAATGAGAAACTGTACAGCTTTAATCATCTCATTACACTTCCAGTAAGTATTTCTAGTATATTTACATTTTTCATATAAAAGAAGACTTTAGTGACGTTTTGAATTTCAATGAACGTAAATTATTGAGTCAGGGATTTCGTTACCACACATTACTTAAAACCTTCACTAAATTCTTCCATAGATACAAAGATTTGGTTTGTAAGTTTGGCTGTACCTGTAGAAAACTTATTTCAAACGGGATAGCACATCCTAATTTTTATGGAGATGCTGTTTACCGAGCCCGGAAATTTAGATACGATCCGGGTAAACTAATCGATCCTTCAAATAAACTTCCTCTAAAAGGTTGCATATTCAACACTGTAATTAGATCTTTAAATATTGTGTTTATTGGTATAGATATTGATTTTGTTATCAGTAAATTAAAACCAAACTAATATTATTGTTATATACATATACATATGCACATTCACGGTTCTACAATCTGTCGATACCGATACCTATATTTTGGCATTGCACACGGTAATGTTTTCTCTGACTGTTAATGACATCTTTGAACTAAATACATTGGATGTTGGATGTGTGCTGATTGATACTTTTGCCTTAGATACATGATTTTTCTATAAGTTGTTTTTGGCTTTGAACTAGCTGTCAGTAACTTGTGAGTACTCTCAGTCAGGAGCCTGTAATTCAGTGGTTGTCGTTTGTTGCTGCATGTATATCATATTTGTATTTCGTTCATTGTTTGTTTTTCTTTACATAAATCAAGCCGTTAGTTTTCTCTTTTGAATTGTTTTACATTTGTCATTTCGGGGCCTTTTATAGCTGACTATGCGGTATGAGTTTTGCTCATTGTTGAACCCGTACGGTGACCTATAGTTGTTAACTTCTATGTCATTTGATCTCTTGTGGAGATTTGTTTCATTGGCAAATATACCACATCTTCTTATTTTTATATTTACATGAGTTGAAGAAAATCATTATGTTTAAAAGATTACCAAAAACAATACCGAGATCAACATTTGATAGATTTGTTTAAACGTTTTTGTATGAATTTCCCAGTCTCAGTACAAATATCATGTAAAAATACATGGAAAAAAACATTTTGGTGTGAATAGAAAGAAAAATAAACGATAGAACTTTGAAATAAATAACCAGATGGCTCATATATAAATATATGTGCTTTCAGAAGAAGAAAGTTGTGGTAGCGGAATTAAAACAAATTGGTAAATTTATTAAACATTCCTATATTTAAGATCTGAGTTATCTCCCCTTATATAGCTGAGAAGACAGAAATTGAATTGTGTTTTGTAAACAGTCGTATTAATAAGATAAACCACATAATTTTCTTAATTAAGATAAAGAGTTTTATATATTAATATCACTTAAAAAAATTTAACGGAATAAGCATTTAAATTAGAGCTCAAAACCACAGTATAAATAAAAGGATATTTTACTTTGGGTTAAAATGTAACTCCAAAGACGGTGCTGTGGATGATATTTTTTTTTGTCCAGCTGTGGTTAGTTGTAAATCTTTGCATCGACTCATTTATTTTCACCAATTTCTTCACTATATACTTTGTCCTTTGGCTAATAAAAAAGAGAGGCGAAAGATACCAAAGGGACATTCAATAATAATAACATGTTAATCAAATCCCCTGATGTAGTTTTGCAGGCCGTTTCCGCATAAAGCAAAGATAAAAAAAAACAAATATTTTCACACGAACCAATTGATGTCGAAACTTTGTGTTATTAACACATGACGTAAACAAATACATGTAAAAGGGCGATTAGTCATTTTTCTCTAACATTTGATCATTTAAAAAAAGTTTAAAACAAGAAAGGAAACGAGCAATTCATATTCCATATCTATTTATCGTTTTCTTTTGTTTAATACTACCTTTTCAGTTTATATTGTTGGTTATGATATATTCATAACAACCATGTTTATCAACTTTGAAAAAGAGATTTCCGAACATTAAATGTAATGTGCAGTTTAAAGAAAAATTATTGGATGCTTGCGTGATACGAACAAAAATCAGAATGAAAAAATTACCATAACCCAACTTCTCCTCAAAGTTAAAAAGGTGTTCCCATACTATTTCCCTCAAAACCAATCAATATAAGTTTCTTTGATATTTTGTACACATTGTTGCAAAACTTTTTGTTTTAAGGATGTAAAATAACTAAAAGGTTAACGACTTTGTGAATGTATTTGCATCATTCGAAGTAGATTTCTTGGTGACAAATAGTCCAAATCGCCAAAAACAGCATAACATTAAAGGGCTGTGAATATTTTTTTCGATGTTTCATCAATACATTTACGAAAACAGCAATAGAATTATTAAAATAACAAAACAAAAAAATCTTTTTATATCAATTAGAAAAAAAAGGATCTGAAAATTATTATTGATTGATTGATTACTATTAAACGTAACATTAGTTGAAAAGGGTATGTCGTGACAACTTATTTTTAGGGGGAAAACTAATAGTTTTATATTAGAGAAATGATGAATTTAAGACAATTCTAAGACCTTTTTTTGTTGATTTAATGAGAATTTTATATGCATGGTCTTCGAGACATGGTAATCTATTTTAAGAATATTCATGTAATTATATACCATAGCATGACTTTTCAAACTGTCAAAGAGATGATAACGGCACAAAGAAAAAATAAATATTTATTACTGGTTAAGTAAGTGAATCTAAGTACAAATTTGATAAGTAATGTAATATCACAAATTTCAAACAAAACAGAAAGACAAAAGTTGTATTCTTGGTAAATTGTCATTACGAGAATAATTTTGTTGTGTTGATTATTGTATACAAGTGTTGGTCAAGTTTTTATAATATAGTAAAATGGAGATACATTTTATAAAAAAAAATGTGTAGTCAATTATCACATGTGTGTTTTATTCTCTTTAAAACATTTATTTAATTTGGTCATTATATAATTCCTCTCTAACGTCCATCAGAATTGTTCCAAGCAGATTTCTTCCCCGCCATTTTTCTTTGTTTAATGCATCTGGATGATCTGCCGCTAACCCGACTCCCCATTTCTCATCAAATGGACTAGCCTCTGCCAGTGTTTTATTTCCGGTGTTTAGCAGTACGGCTTTGAGTTTTGGATTCTGTGAGAACTGAAACAGAATGAATAACATATAGGTTGTATAATCTGTCTGTAATATCATCACGGTATATATAGTATATAACAACGTGTATAATCTGTCTGTAATGTCATCACGGTATATATAGTAAATAACAACGTGTATAATCTGTCTGTAATGACTAATGTCATCACGGTAAATATAGTATATAACAATGTTTATAATCTGTCTGTAATGACTAATGTCATCACGGTATATATAGTATATAACAACGTGTATAATCTGTCTGTAATATCATCACGGTATATATAGTAAATAACAACGTGTATAATCTGTCTGTAATGTCATCACGGTATATATAGTATATAACAACGTGTATAATCTGTCTGTAATGTCATCACGGTATATATAGTAAATAACAACGTGTATAATCTGTCTGTAATGTCATCATGGTATATATAGTATATAATAACGTGTATAATCTGTCTGTAATATCATCACGGTATATATAGTAAATAACAACGTGTATAATCTGTCTGTAATGACTAATGTCATCACGGTATATATAGTATATGACAACTTGTATAATCTGTCTGTAATGTCATCACGGTATATATAGTATATAACAACATGTATAATCTGTCTGTAATGTCATCACGGTATATATAGTATATAACAACGTGTATAATCTGTCTGTAATGTCATCACGGTATATATAGTATATAACGTGTATAATCTGTCTGTAATGTCATCACGGTATATATAGTATATAACAACGTGTATAATCTGTCTGTAATATCATCACGGTATATATAGTATATAACAACGTGTATAATCTGTCTGTAATATCATCACGGTATATATAGTATATAACAACGTGTATAATCTGTCTGTAATGTCATCACGGTATATATAATATATAACAACGTGTATAATCTGTCTGTAATGACTAATGTCATCACGGTATATATAGTATATAACAACGTGTATAATCTGTCTGTAATGACTAATGTCATCACGGTATATATAGTATATAACAACGTGTATAATCTGTCTGTAATGTCATCACGGTATATATAGTATATAACAACGTGTATAATCTGTCTGTAATGTCATCACGGTATATATAGTATATAACAACGTGTATAATCTGTCTGTAATGTCATCACGGTATATATAGTAAATAACAAGGTGTATAATCTGTCTGTAATGTCATCACGGTATATATAGTATATAACAAGGTGTATAATCTGTCTGTAATGTCATCACGGTATATATAGTATATAACAACGTGTATAATCTGTCTGTAATGTCATCATGGTATATATAGTATATAACAACGTGTATAATCTGTCTGTAATGACTAATGTCATCACAGTATATATAGTAAATAACAACGTGTATAATCTGTCTGTAATGTCATCAAGGTATATATAGTATATAACAACGTGTATAATCTGTCTGTAATATCATCATGGTACATATAGTATATAACAACGTGTATAATCTGTCTGTAATGTCATTATGGTATATATAGTAAATAACAACGTGTATAATCTGTCTGTAATGTCATCACGGTATATATAGTATATAACAACGTGTATAATCTGTCTGTAATGTCAGTATGGTATATATAGTATATAACAACGTGTATAATCTGTCTGTAATATCATCACGGTATATATAGTATATAACAACGTGTATAATCTGTCTGTAATATCATCACGGTATATATAGTATATAACAACGTGTATAATCTGTTTGTAATGTCATCACGGTATATATAGTAAATAACAACGTGTATATAGTATATAACAACGTGTATAATCTGTCTGTAATATCATCACGGTATATATAGTATATAACAACGTGTATAATCTGTCTGTAATGTCATCACGGTATATATAGTATATAACAACGTGTATAATCTGTCTGTAATGTCATCACGGTATATATAGTAAATAAGAACGTGTATAATCTGTCTGTAATATCATCACGGTGGTTTATATAGTATATAACAAGGTGTATAATCTGTCTGTTATGTCATCACGGTATATATAGTAAATAACAACGTGTATAATCTGTCTGTAACATGATATATGTAGTAAATAACAACGTGTATATAGTATATAACAACGTGTATAATCTGTCTGTAATATCATAACGGTATATATAGTATATAACAACGTTGTATAATCTGTCTGTAATGTCATTACGGTATATATAGTATATAACAACCTGTATAATCTGTCTGTAATCTCATCACGGTATATATAGTATATAACAACGTGTATAATCTGTCTGTAATGTCATCACGGTATATATAGTAAATAACAACGTGTATAATCTGTCTGTAATGTCATCACGGTATATATAGTAAATAACAACGTGTATAATCTGTCTGTAATGTCATCATGGTATATATAGTATATAACAACGTGTATAATCTGTCTGTAATGTCATCACGGTATATATAGTATATAACAACGTGTATAATCTGTCTGTAATGTCATCACGGTATATATAGTATATAACAACGTGTATAATCTGTCTGTAATGTCATCACGGTATATATAGTATATAACAACGTGTATAATCTGTCTGTAATGTCATCACGGTATATATAGTAAATAACAACGTGTATAATCTGTCTGTAATGTCATCACGGTATATATAGTAAATAAGAACGTGTATAATCTGTCTGTAATATCATCACGGTGGTTTATATAGTATATAACAAGGTGTATAATCTGTCTGTTATGTCATCACGGTATATATAGTAAATAACAACGTGTATAATCTGTCTGTAACATGATATATGTAGTAAATAACAACGTGTATATAGTATATAACAACGTGTATAATCTGTCTGTAATATCATAACGGTATATATAGTATATAACAACGTTGTATAATCTGTCTGTAATGTCATTACGGTATATATAGTATATAACAACCTGTATAATCTGTCTGTAATCTCATCACGGTATATATAGTATATAACAACGTGTATAATCTGTCTGTAATGTCATCACGGTATATATAGTAAATAACAACGTGTATAATCTGTCTGTAATGTCATCACGGTATATATAGTAAATAACAACGTGTATAATCTGTCTGTAATGTCATCATGGTATATATAGTATATAACAACGTGTATAATCTGTCTGTAATGTCATCACGGTATATATAGTATATAACAACGTGTATAATCTGTCTGTAATGTCATCACGGTATATATAGTATATAACAACGTGTATAATCTGTCTGTAATGTCATCACGGTATATATAGTAAATAACAACGTGTATAATCTGTCTGTAATGTCATCACGGTATATATAGAATATAACAACGTGTATAATCTGTCTGTAATGTCATCACGGTATATATAGTATATAACAACGTGTATAATCTGTCTGTAATGTCATCACGGTATATATAGTAAATAACATCGTGTATAATCTGTCTGTAATGTCATTATGGTATATATAGTATATAACAACGTGTATAATCTGTCTGTAATGTCATCACGGTATATTTATATATATAACAACGTGTATAATCTGTCTGTAATATCATCACGGTATATATAGTATATAACAACGTGTATAATCTGTCTGTAATATCATCACGGTGGTTTATATAGTATATAACAAGGTGTATAATCTGTCTGTAATGTTATCACGGTATATATAGTATATAACAACGTGTATAATTTGTCTGTGATATCATCACGGTATATATAGTATATAACAACGTGTATAATCTGTCTGTAATGACTAATGTCATCACGGTATATATAGTATATAACAACGTGTATAATCTGTCTGTAATGTCATCACAGTATATATAGTATATAACAACGTGTATAATCTGTCTGTAATGTCATCACAGTATATATAGTATATAACAACGTGTATAATCTGTCTGTAATGTCATCATGGTATATATAGTATATAACAACGTGTATAATCTGTCTGTAACATGGTATATATAGTATATAACAACGTGTATAATCTGTCTGTAATGTCATCACAGTATATATAGTATATAACAATGTGTATAATCTGTCTGTAATATTATCACGGTATATATAGTATATAACAACGTGTATTATCTGTCTGTAATGTCATCACGGTATATATAGTAAATAACAACGTGTATAATCTGTCTGTAATGTCATCACGGTATATATAGTATATAACAACGTGTATAATCTGTCTGTAATGTCATCACGGTATATATAGTATATAACGTGTATAATCTGTCTGTAATGTCATCACGGTATATATAGTATATAACAACGTGTATAATCTGTCTGTAATATCATCACGGTATATATAGTATATAACAACGTGTATAATCTGTCTGTAATATCATCACGGTATATATAGTATATAACAACGTGTATAATCTGTCTGTAATGTCATCACGGTATATATAGTATATAACAACGTGTATAATCTGTCTGTAATGACTAATGTCATCACGGTATATATAGTATATAACAACGTGTATAATCTGTCTGTAATGTCATCACGGTATATATAGTAAATAACAACGTGTATAATCTGTCCGTAATGTCATCACGGTATATATAGTATATAACAACGTGTATAATCTGTCTGTAATGTCATCACGGTATATATAGTATATAACAACGTGTATAATCTGTCTGTAATGTCATCACGGTATATTTATATATATAACAACGTGTATAATCTGTCTGTAATATCATCACGGTATATATAGTATATAACAACGTGTATAATCTGTCTGTAATATCATCACGGTGGTTTATATAGTATATAACAAGGTGTATAATCTGTCTGTAATGTTATCACGGTATATATAGTATATAACAACGTGTATAATTTGTCTGTGATATCATCACGGTATATATAGTATATAACAACGTGTATAATCTGTCTGTAATGTCATCACGGTATATATAGTATATAACAACGTGTATAATCTGTCTGTAATGACTAATGTCATCACGGTATATATAGTATATAACAACGTGTATAATCTGTCTGTAATGTCATCACGGTATATATAGTAAATAACAACGTGTATAATCTGTCCGTAATGTCATCACGGTATATATAGTATATAACAACGTGTATAATCTGTCTGTAATGTCATCACGGTATATATAGTATATAACAACGTGTATAATCTGTCTGTAATGTCATCACGGTATATATAGTAAATAACAAGGTGTATAATCTGTCTGTAATGTCATCACGGTATATATAGTATATAACAACGTGTATAATCTGTCTGTAATGTCATCACGGTATATATAGTATATAACAACGTGTATAATCTGTCTGTAATGTCATCACGGTATATATAGTAAATAACAACGTGTATAATCTGTCTGTAATGTCATCACGGTATATATAGTATATAACAACGTGTATAATCTGTCTGTAATGTCATCACGGTATATATAGTATATAACAACGTGTATAATCTGTCTGTTAAGTCATCACGGTATATATAGTAAATAACAACGTGTATAATCTGTCTGTAATGTCATCACGGTATATATAGTATATAACAACGTGTATAATCTGTCTGTAATGTCATCATGGTATATATAGTATATAACAACATGTATAATCTGTCTGTGATATCATCACGGTATATATAGTAAATAACAACGTGTATAATCTGTCTGTAATGTCATCACGGTATATATAGTATATAACAACGTGTATAATCTGTCTGTAATGTCATCACGGTATATATAGTAAATAACAACGTGTATAATCTGTCTGTAATGTCATCACGGTATATATAGTATATAACAACGTGTATAATCTGTCTGTAATGTCATCACGGTATATATAGTATATAACAACGTGTATAATCTGTCTGTTAAGTCATCACGGTATATATAGTAAATAACAACGTGTATAATCTGTCTGTAATGTCATCACGGTATATATAGTATATAACAACGTGTATAATCTGTCTGTAATGTCATCATGGTATATATAGTATATAACAACGTGTATAATCTGTCTGTAATGACTAATGTCATCACAGTATATATAGTAAATAACAACGTGTATAATCTGTCTGTAACATGGTATATATAGTAAATAACAACGTGTATAATCTGTCTGTAATATCATCACGGTATATATAGTATATAACAACATGTATAATCTGTCTGTGATATCATCACGGTATATATAGTAAATAACAACGTGTATAATCTGTCTGTAATGTCATCACGGTATATATAGTATATAACAACGTGTATAATCTGTCTGTAATGTCATCACGGTATATATAGTATATAACAACGTGTATAATCTGTCTGTAATGTCATCACGGTATATATAGTATATAACAACGTGTATAATCTGTCTGTAATGTCATCACGGTATATATAGTAAATAACATCGTGTATAATCTGTCTGTAATGTCATCACGGTATATATAGTATATAACAACGTGTATAATCTGTCTGTAATGTCATCACGGTATATATAGTATATAACAACGTGTATAATCTGTCTGTAATGTCATCATGGTATATATAGTAAATAACAACGTGTATAATCTGTCTGTAATATCATCATGGTATATATATAGTATATAACAAAGTGTATAATCTGTCTGTAATGTCATCACGGTATATATAGTATATAACAACGTGTATAATCTGTCTGTAATGTCATCACGGTATATATAGTATATAACAACGTGTATAATCTGTCTGTAATGTCATCACGGTATATATAGTATATAACAACGTGTATAATCTGTCTGTAATGTCATCACGGTATATATAGTAAATAACAACGTGTATAATCTGTCTGTAATGTCATTACGGTATATATAGTATATAACAACGTGTATAATCTGTCTGTAATGTCATCACGGTATATATAGTAAATAACAACGTGTATAATCTGTAATGTCATCACGGTATATATAGTATATAACAACGTGTATAATCTGTCTGTAATATCATCATGTGGTATATATAGAAATAACGTCATACAGGCATTTTAGGGTCAATATAAATATTGTCGAGCTTTCATATGAAACATGTGAGTGTTTTGTATATATATATTATTGAACAAATTATAAATCTCTGCTGCTAAGGGGGAAATATGAATTTTATAAGTCATCATTGACCAAAACACATAGCCAATGGTAATGTCGCATTTTTCGTAACAAAATGCAGTATATATATGCCAACCAAATTATCCCATGTTCGTATCATTTATTCACTTATTCAATGTGTTGATGTCTCTCGACGCACTAGCGACATGTTTTAGGTCTTCTGTCTTTACCAATTGTGACATTTTGACTGAGCACCCGGTCTTTGGGAGTTTATGCCATCCCTTCGGTTTTTTTTTGTTACCTTTATTTGTCTCTTCTTAATAGATTTATAAAATTTGAACATCAGTGAACTACCGTCGCCTTAATACACCAGTTGATGAACAAAGGTCGATAAATTGTACACGAAAAAACAGCAAGTTTTTTGTCAGCCGTCTAATTTAAAATATACGTGTATTTATTATAATGACGCATCGAATAGGATTGACTAATTAACTCTAGTGTTTCGTGGACTTGTTTGTATTTTCGTTGTCTTTCTTTGTTTTATTTGCCATAGAGTTGTTAGTTTCCTTTAGAGTTTTTAATGTAACCTTGGTATCGTACGCCTCTTTTTTTTATTTCGATTGAACTAAACTTCTCTTTGAGTGAAATCTGACGCGAACGAAAAAGTAAAAAACTTTTTTACACTAAACCTGATAAAAAACTTAGCAAAATCATTTATTTTTTTTTCCTTTTTACCTTCGCAATATTTCCCTGTTTCACAATTTCTTCACATTTACTGTTCCACAGCGGTCTATTAAAGCTAGATAATTTTGCTGCCTGTCGCCCAAAATCCTTTTGTTCTTCTGGGTCTGTTGATGTCATAACTCTCTCTGTTAATTTTTCGTCATCACATAAACCTTTTATAGAAGAATTAAAATAAATAAATGTATGCTAATACATTTCATTTGATAAGAATTCTCTTTTTTTTTTATTTGGGAGTTGATGAAGCGACAACCGAATAGTCGAGGCAACTGGAAAAAAAGACAGATTCTGGTATAGTTAATCATAATAAGTGTTTGTGTATGGTTTAAACTATTGTTTAAACTGTTTAAATAAAGTGATGATTTTGAGTGATCAGAGATAATACACATCGCCAAATTTAACACATGTGAAACAGAAACTCATAAGAAGGAGGCTAAACTAGTTAATTCTAACCAGACATCCCATATGAAAAAATTAATGTAATATAACACCTTAGTTTTATCCAATAATAAATTAAATTTGGATGTAACACGTCTTTTGATCGGCTGAAATTTTTTTTTGTCTTTCAGCTCATAGACATAATTTTGTCATGTGACTGTGACGTAATCAACGTTTTTTAATGATTAACTCCTTAAAAATGGAATTAAGAATTAAATTATAAGGACTGACTGTAGTATTTTTTTCTGTCTATTCGAAATAACCTCAAAATTATAACACCTTAGTTTTATCCAATATTTGCAATTGTATACAATTTTTCTGTTTTGAATAGCTAACATTTTTAAACGCTTCAATTACTACAAGTCTTAAAACTTAAAAAGAAGCAAAACAACACGCAAATGCTTATATAATTTAATCTCATAAAACAGAAATAATGGTTAAAGAATATTGTTGAGCATTGTAACTATTTCAAAGTTTCTACATGTTTACGGACAAATTTAAGACACGTGAAGACCTTACATCAAAGTGAAATAATTTCTAAAAGCTAAGGCCGAACTACAGGACTTTCAAGAAAGGTATGAAACCATATCATAAGATAAAATTTGCACTTTATTATTCGTCGAATAATTTCTTTTAAAATGATCTACACTAAACCTTTCGTTTGTGACAAAATCATTGTTTGCACAATTCCAGATGTTTCCAATAAGGTTCTAAGATCATTGTATGACCATTGTGTGTCTAAGATCTGATGAAACGTCAAACATTAATTTTTAACGAACGCTAAATGTAAAAGGGTTCTTGTTATCATGTTTTTTTTTAAAATAGGTGGATGGACGGGGTCGACAGAAATTTTATGTCCGATTATATCTTACGTGTTTTATGATACATCATAAACTGCTCTGCACAGTTAAATGTCAGTTCCTCCACTGTGAACATTGAATGATGCCACTGACTGAACACAGAGCCTTTCTGCCAGAATAGTACAAAATCTTTATTTTCTTTTTGTGTGTAAACTGGATCGCTGTATTTAGGCTTCAAAAAGTTTCCCATGCTCCTTTTTCCACTATGTGGTCGTCGTCCAGATCCTTCGGAATGCTTTTGAACTTTTTGTTTCTTGTACGGTTTTGTTTTTTTGTGATCTTGTTTAACACGCCCATCAACTCCAGGGTGTTTACTTCTTGTATGCTTTCTTTCCTGTTTATCTGAACTTTGTATGTCACCCATTAAAGTAAAGTATTGTTCTACCGCAAAACAACTTCTTCTAACGTATCAACACAACTTAAACTTCGTTCATCTTTGTAGGAATGTAATTTACTCTGTTAGGAAAACCGAAAGTAGATAGCTGTCATAGGTAAATGACTAAATCAAATACGTATACGTTAAAATTCCGTAAATTTATGTAAACTAATAACCTTTCTAAGCGTAACTGATGTCTTTAAATAATAACATTCGAAACGATAAGTTTATGATTTATTTTACAAAAAGGATTGATTGATTGAGCGAGTGATAGTTTCTTTTTTTCTTTAAATGTCGTTTTACCTAAAAGAGAACGAATGCGTGTAATCTATTTTATTGGTTTCTGTAATACAATATGACTACAGGATTGTTACCAAAGTTTTACATTACAATTCATCATTCGTTATGTTAAGCTGTTTCTCCCAGTCTAGGAAATAAATGAGATCAGCGGAATATCAAATGAGTTTATAAGGCAAGTAAGTTAGACCATTGGAATAGCAAATGTATTTATTAATGTAATTAAATTAAATCGGTGGAATAGCAAATGTTAACTCATCATAGATACCAGGATTGAAATTTTGTACAAAAGACTCATCAGTGACGCTCGAATCAAAAAGTTCAAAAAGGCCAAATAGATTACAAAGTAAAGCAAACATATTTGACTCCGCCACATTCTGTATGTGCCTGTCCTAAACCAGGAGCCTGTAAATCAGTGACCGTCGTTTGTTGCAATATATCATATTTGTTTTTTTCGTTTATTGTTTTGTACATTTATCAGGTCATTAGATTTCTCGTTAGAATTTTTACATCTGTCATTTCGAAGCCTTTTATAGCTTGTTATGAGGTATGGGTTTTGCTCATTGTTGAAGGTATGGTGACCTATAATTGCTAACTTCGACGTCATTTGGTCTGTGGTGGAGAGTTGTCTTATTTGGGCAATTATTCCACATCTTCGTATTTTTATATTATCACAATAACTTCATTATTGAGTAGAGATATTTGCCAATGTGTGTTTCATTTGGACGTCACTGTAACAATATTACTATTCCAATATCAGAATTCAGTAAGAGTTAATTTAGGTAAACCTGCACACTCCAAAAGTTATAAATAGAACGTTGACTCAAAGTTGACCTTAGACGGATTTGGCTATATTTTTAGGTCCTTTTTGGTCATATAGCTCTTCAACTGTTTCGGTTGTTATACATCATTTGCTTGTATATACCAGTATTCGGCTTTGAGCGTTCCTGATGAAGGTAAATCCAGAAAAAGTGCTTTGGACGCATGAAATTTATAACGTGTTGATTTCATTTTTTTCGACTTTGCATGCTTTCCATGATGATGTTGTTATCATGAAGCTAATTAAAAATGAAGACTTGAGCTGCATTGTATTTATCGCCACACAACAACGAAACATGGTGTCAGATGTGGCTGAAAGGAATGAAATTATGAAAAGACAATAGTCCGTCGTCTGACATGAATATACAAATCAGATTATGACGTCTTGAAAGGCTATTTTTTTGTCTGTGGTGCCTTCCTACGACGTCTGGACGATTCTATTTCGGTTTCCTTGATTTCCCGAGATCCTTTGTTTCCGGAAAGTATTAAATAATACTCCATAAAATTGGGCAGACCCAAATTTCCGGATAATATGAATCGGACGTTCCGGAAATTCGGTTCCATCAAATTTTATTGAGGTAGAAATATACAATTAGGAAAAAAAAATATTAAAATTTACCCTTATAAATTTTACCATCCCCTTTTCCTTGCTCTCTTACACAATAAGCTTTCTTTTATATTATTTTTTTTTTATTAATCATATCCAACTATCGCGGTCATCACGTGACTTTTACAATTCAGTTGTATATCATTAATGGCCGATTGATTATCAATGAAAATGAACGGGCTACATAGATTAAATGATCATAACTTTTTTGTTACATTGTGTATTTTACCTTCCAACCCCGCGTTTTATAGTATTTTCATTTTTACAATTAAAAATGTTTTAAGTTTCAGTTCAGAAATAAGATTTCTTGCTTCAAATTAGGTTTGAAAATGGAGGTGACATAACCACACAGCCTCCGTTGACTTCTTCGTTAAAACTCAATAAAATTGCAATGGGACCTTCTTATATGATCAATTTTCTCAACTTTTTATTTGTTAATAATATCCTTCCAACCCCTAAAAAGATCGACAACACATTCATTTAAATGAAATCGAAACCCAAATCACTTTAGGTAACAAACTTTTTGCTTCAAAATTTGATTGAAAAGTTTACATTTTGGCATTCGTTAACAATATTTTGAAAATGGCGGCCGATGTCGGAAGTGAACAAAGACACGACATGTATTCATTTAGCAATTAATTAAAAAGTAATTTGTGAAATATTTATTAAAGTGTGTCTTATTGTTTTTAGAAATTTCTTATTTCACCTTTAATTTAATATATTTATTAGAAACAGTCTCTCGCACTCAAAACAAAGATTTATATGCATCAACCATGCATTGTTTACATTGACCATGTTGACAGCGTAGGTCGACTTGTGAAAATATATATTGTAATATTTTATGATGAAAATCAAAAAACTGTTGGATGCATGCGTTTTCAGTTTTTGTCTTACCTTAAAGCAGCATAGAATCAAATATTTTGTCTTTTTGATAAAGTGGATACATGCTGTTTGTTTTGATAAAATTTCGAAATTACGAAAAAAAATGGCGACCAAACAATTTTCAAACGTAGACGATGTTCGACACTAATTTTGCCCATGCAAATAACACAATTTAATTTCACTGTTTATATTGCAATTAAATATGACACGTTATTGTCACTCTAATAATACCCGAGGACATAGCTTGATTAAGGAGATATTAAGTCATCAACGTGATCAAAGAAAACAAACACGGCACCTAATCACGATGTAAGATCATGTAAGTTTTGACAAGACTTATGTAGATTAATATGGTCCGATTCTTATAGAAATTATTTTATGGTACTATTTTATATAAATAAAAAAAAACCTCGAAACCCCGAGGTGAAATATCTATATTTTTCAATTTTCTAAATTATTCATCACACGGGTTACCAGTAAATTTTTCATATTCCAAATTAAACCAGTAACATGCAGAGTTATCGAACGTAATTATGACTGGTATAGTTGCATATGAATTTCTTTTTGGTGTACCCATGGCAACAATCTGCATTTATTTGCTAAAGATTATTGTAAAAAGGGGTGTGAAGATGTCCCATGTTTCCCCAAATTTTGTTTAAAAGTAGAATTTCAATCCCTTTGAGGGATACCTTTTCTGAAACTGTTTCGATATATCTATCAGCCGGACAAATAAATATCAGATGTCTTTCGTCTCATTTTTTCGTAAAATTGCATCAAAAAGTTCGTGTGAAAAAAAAGTGTTTGTAAACAATACATAATTTTCTGGACCTATGGCCGTCGGGATATGAAAATACGGGCAGTCAAACAGAAAACAGCCGATAAAACATGTACAAATAATCTTGATTTTCATATAAACCCACTTTGAAGGCTTGATTAGTCATCAGCTGTCTAAAAATGAATTTTATTGCACAATAACTTTCATATTTGAAAAATCCACAAGGGCCAAAATTCGAAACCACACTCCTAATTGTGTATTGCTACCTAAATAGAAAAATATTTTTTTTTAAATTCCCCCTTTTAACTCATTTTCTGTGTTTGTAGCTACAACAAGTAAAATGGCCTTTTATTTTTGATAATTAATTGAGTAATAAATATTTATAAAGGTTAGCAGTTGACACTGGTACGCGACAAAAAACTGATTTATGGAAAAGTGAAAAATCTCATTTCTGCCTCAATTTTTTGTTAAATTTTAAAAACTATACCTCTTGTTTCTATTTTTGAATGTTGAAAATGTTGATAAGATCTCTGAAGATGCAAAATTGTACAAAATTAAGCAATTTAAAGCACAAAAACTTTAATTTTTATGTGTATTGCATACCAAAGCCTTGGTTAAGAAACTTGCTAATATGGAATCAATTTCTAACAGGAAAAACAACATTACATTTAATTTTAGCCAAATTGTATCACGAAACCTTGCTAAAAATAATATTTTGATATATTGGCATGAAAAAATAGAAAGCGTTCAATACTTTGGCTATTAAATACATGGGAATCCTTTGGTAGCAAGGGTTAAGCCAATATAGTACAAATATAAGCTTTGTGTCAAAATGTCTATTTTTGGTTGCTAAGGAAAATAAACAATAACATTGACATGTAGTGTCATTCTAAAACCCTTTATCCCCCCCCCCCCCTCAGAAATTCATTTAGAATCTAAATGTAACAGATTTGCGGTATGAATAGTCTTAAATTATGCTATTCTGAGCTTTTTAAGTATGGCCCTTTATAGCTTGCTGTTCGGTGTGAGCCAAGGCTCCGTGTTGAAGACCGTACTTTGACCTATAATGGTTTACTTTTGTAAATTGTGACTTGGATGGAGAGTTGTCTCATTGGCACTTATACCACATCTTCTTATATCTACATAAGGTAGCAATATAAAGTTAGGAAAAAAAATAAATATTTACCCTCATAAATTTTACCATCCCCTTTTCCTTGCTTTCTTACAAAATAAGCTTACTGTTTGTGTCATATATGTTCATATGTAAGTAATCTGTATCTTCCATAGATTTGATTTCCAGTCGTTAAAATGGTGAAATATGATTTCTTTTTGGTGTACCCATGGCAACAATCTGCATTTGTTTGCTATAAAATATTGCAAAAAGGGGTGTGAAGATGTCACATGTTTCCCCAAAATTTGTTTAAAAGTAGAATTTCAATCTAATGGAGGGATACCTTTTTGAAACTGTTTAGATATATCTCTCAGTAGATCAAATAAAAATCATATGTCTTTCGTCTCATTTTTTCGTAAAATTGCATCAAAAAGTTCGTGTGAAAAAAGTGTTTGTAAACAATACAAAATTTTCTGGACCTCTTGATGTTCCTACAAACCTACTTTGAAGGCTTAATTAGTCATCAGCTGTCTAAAATGAATTTCATTGCACAATAAATCTACAGGGGCCAAAATGCGAAACCACACTCCTAACTGTGTATTGCTACCTGAGGTTGATACTC